CCGTACCACGAGGATACTTCGGTTGATGCACCAGCTGGAATAAAAAGAGTAATATATGTCGAGAGAATATAAATTCTTAGTATCGACACTGGTCTCTAATCACTTAGTTTACATCATGCCTACAAACAAGTTTTCGAGATCATGGCAACATGTGGTTCAAGTTCAATGGCTATAAAATGCAAACTCTAGCCTAATTAGGATTCATTCCACATTATTTACACCAAACATATATTTTAATGGACATCGAACTGACGCTTTTTTACATTTTTCATGTTTTTTTGGATCATTTGGTTCTAATAACACAAATCTAATTTGTCAAAAAAAAAAAAAAATTTTGGTGAATAATTTGTCAAATTTTTTAAAATCTTCCTAGGCTCATTACAAAGATTTATACATATATTTTTAATCGATAATCAAATGTATAGCTGTATAAGTGCAAAACTTTTTTTTTTAAACCGCTATTTTATTAATCAAACTGTGAATGGAAAATAAAATTTATTCAAGAGCCATTGAGGCGGAATTGTAAAACAAGAATACAATAATTCACTATCATGCGCTTTTTTGGACAAGAGATCTGCAGTTTGATTCCTCTTCCGATTAACATGAACCAAAGAACATGGTGGAAGCTTACAATCCACCGTCGAAACTTATACGTAGATTTAAACAAAAAAAAGAGGATAATTTAAGGGTTTTGTTTTGCAAAATAGGCATCGAGATTTCGCAAATGGGTAATTAGAATGATCAACATGAATCCGTGATTGGGCCTGGGCCTAAAAACGGGCCGCGTCATAAAGTTTGGTCGGTGGAGCGATACTCTCTATCGTATAGATATGGATCATGTGGGAAGCATGCGGAAGCGGCAGCATTTCGGATAAGAGTCAAATTCCGTTTGGGGAAAAATTGTAAATTTGCGGGACCACGAAAAATTGAAAATCTTCATCATCATCAAAAACTCTCCGTTTCTCGATGATGAGGCCACGAATTGCTTTAGCATGCGTATTTTAGAGAGACGGAACGAGACGTCAACTCTTTGCGCACGTTAGCTAAATGCATGTCCTTTTTGCTTTGTTATC